CCCCCCCAGGACCTCTAAACGCACAGCAGGAGCCCCTCCGATATTCCTGGGGACATCAAACACAGCAATGAAGCTACAGAGGCCGGCTGACAGTTCGCTCCCAGTGGGCTGGGCAAGGCCTCTGCTCCCGAAGGGGCTCAGGCTTGGAGAGGAGCACGTGGGTCCTCCCAGATGGAAATGCTGGCTGGACGAGCTGCGGGCAAGCGGTGCTGGAGGGCCGCCCACACCCAACCCGATGGCCGCATGGAAGCCAATTCCCTGTGCCTCAGTGAGCTGGTCTGAGAAATGGGACCAGCATGCTCAGGCGAAGGGAGTGAGCTCTAGAAAACCAGAGATGAAACTCCCTACCCCCTCCTGGCCCCCAGAGAGTGGAGGTTCTATCAGAACCTTCCTGGGAGCATGCAACCCCGCCCCACACCATGCACCTTTGGCAAAGACCCCTCTCCTTCCCTGTCTGGCTCCCAAGCCCTCCCACCGGCCCTCAGAGTCCACGTTCTGGGGCTCAGCTCCCCGAGGCACGGAGCTGGGTGTCTCCGGTTGGAGGTGTGTTGGGGGTGCTCTTTGGCTGGAAGCAAAGGCCATTCTGGTGGGATCGGGCCTGTCTGCTCAGCTCCAGGCCTTCCTGGGACCGGGTGTGGGGTGGGGACCAGCCCAGGGCCACCCCATCAAACAGCTGTGTTCCCATCTCCCCAGGTCACCCCTTTAGGGCCATGCTAGGGCGGACAGACAGGCCGAGACCAGCTCGGATGCTCAAGTTCATTGGCACAGCACTACAGAATCTAAACCATGTCCTTCGGAGGTGCTGACAGGGGGCCCCCCATGCCCCGGCTGGGGGGCCCCGCCTGCTGTCTGGTGGGACAAGCGCATCGGCACACTGGACGGTGGCTGCTCCTTGGCTCTCTCATGGCCTTGGGCGTCTGTGGTCGTCTTTGGGTGTAGAGGGCTCTCCAGGGACAGGCTGGGGGTGATGGCGGGTGGGCGCAGGGCAGGGGCAGAGCCAGCAGGGAGGAGACAGAGGCACTTCAGTTTGGGCTGGTGTTCATGGAGTCGGCCCTGGCCCCAGGGTGGAGTGGCCCCGCCTGGCTCTGGCTCCGGCGCTGGGTTGTCACAGAAGACCCCGGGGGCGGTGGACAGGTAGGCACTTGGCAGTACTCCCGGGGCGGGCCGGCTGGGGGCTCCACGCGGGCTCCGCGCGCGGCTAGGTCATCAGGATGGGCTTCTGCCGGACCTCCAGGATGTCTAGGGTGGAAGGTGGGGAGCGGACGGGACGGGAGTGTGGGAAGCAGGGTCGCACGCACTTCCTCTCCCAGCCTCAAGGGCTGCAGCGCCGGGACCCTCCCCACATTAGACGGCCTGGGGCTCGGACAGGCCCCCGACAGCGGGGACCCGGGGGGCTGCTACAGCGCTACACAAAGGGACCCCTTCCCGGGCCGTAGCTCTCCCGGAGGCCCAGGTATGCGCAGGGAGCCTGACTTGGGGTGATGGGTAGGGCTGGACGCCCCACAACCCGGCCTCGGGGCCGGGGCCCAGGAGGCGGGGGGCCAGGGAGAGGGGCGCCAGCCCGCGGCCTACCTGTCAGGATCCGAGGCAGGGGCAGCGTGACGTAGGTCAGGTGTGCATAGAGAAGGAAGTTCCCTTCCGCGCGGCTCAGCTTCAGCCAGGACCCCACCAGGGACCGCCCCGTGCCGGACAGGGACCGGGACCGCAGGTTAGTGGCGTTGTGCAGATCAGCTGGAGGGGAGGGGGCCGGTCAGCGGGGAGTGGGGACACCTGCCGCCCCATGCCACTCCTCCCTGCCCCGCTGCGCCCTCTGCTCGGCGCTGTTACCCTGGCCTGTGACATCTGCCCTCTCCTGCCCATCCGCCCGGCCCCATCCCTCAGGGCCCCACCCACCCTGAGCTCTC